TCAAGGAAAAGGGGGAGGGAAGCAAATCCTGTAATTGAAGCTGAATGCCTGGAGAAAATGATAAATATGTTCAACTGTTTTTACAGTCTGCAGTTCTTTCTGTAGTATCACAGTGGATCCCCATGTGGAGATACCTATCTTGTGCCTTTGGGAATTAAATAATACTTGTGCAAGTTGTATACAACTTCTGACTGCCATGAACCCCCTGTGCACCAGGAGTCATAACAGAATTAGCTACAGAAGTGCAGCAGTTCTCTCAACACCCACTAATGATAAGACTTACAGCATGTAAATCAGTAAAGCAAGATTATCAGTTTTCTTAATATTCAACTTGTGGAAATACCAATATATTTTTCCATAAACTTACCAAGAAGAGGAGCTATTATTGTGACTGCAGCCACACCTGAAGCAATGCTGGTCAATGGCATTTTGCTGTCATGCAAACTTAGGAACAAAACCAGGCTTATATGAGAATGCAACTGTGAAGTAGATGCAAAGATTAGCAATCCAAAGGTTAGTTGCACTCCTGAGTCTGGGGCATTAGGGATAAATTCCAAAAGATTTCAGCTGTTCAAAGGTAACATATAATAACAAAAATTTCCAGAGTCTTGGTAGCTACCTTTGTAGCACGCAGCCCCTATGCCTGTCACAGCCCTTTGGCACTTACATTTTCACTTGGGAAATAAACGTAAATCATGCAGAAGACACACACATCTACAGTACATGCTGCATACAGATGGATATAGCCTTTAGGAAAAGGTTATGGATTAAATTTAACATGTATCTACATCAGCAAAAGCCTGTAGCTGTAACTTGCTGGAGTGGTGACTTACGGGGCCATATGAGGTCATCTATGGAAAAAAATGCCACGTCAGTGCAGTACACTGTTATTTCCCTATCTCGGAAATTAAGAATAATTTGGATTATATTAGGTTGAAACTGCACAATCCGTGTCACTCAAGACCTGAGATACTTTTTTTAACATACAAGACCTGGGACTAACACACAGACGGGCTCGACCACCAACCCCTTTCTAGAAATGCGTTGTAAAACCACTCACGTGAATTCCGTGGCAGCGTTCCAGCTGCCACACAGCCTGCCCGGAGCTGGAGGTGCAGCTGAGGTGAGGGGAAGCCTGTGGAGCAGCAGGCTGCCTCTGACAGCCCTCACTGAACAGAGCCCCTCAGTAACTTCCAAGTTTCCAGACTTGGTGTCCAACTGTTCTATCTCAAAAGATCAAGGCCAGCACCAGCCCAGCACACACACGCCCAGTCGCGTTGTTCTAGGAGGGGCAGCTTGGCTTGTGAGCTGGACCTGTGCTTCTCCACACTCAGTTTCCTTTGAAATCTTTGTCCTGGCAGGACAGAAGATTACAAGTTCACCTTAATCTTTGCTGATTGCACTTTGCCACATACAACGTAATGAGACTGGCTTTACCTAAGAAGTGGGAATAGGCACCTTCAAAAATAACAAGCACAGGCTCTTTCTCATTTTAAACATCTCCCTTGATGTGAGACTTTTTTCCATCCCAGTAGAACTAACCATCATCATGTCCATTTTGTTTCTGTTCCCAGGAAATGAGTATTCTGGGCAGTGCGCACTTTTAAGCCTCTACCATGTGTACACGCAGTCAGAGATGCAATCCTTGCTTTAGACAGAGCTTTGGAGGATAGAGCACTATTATTTGAAACTTTTTCTATGTTTTTTTCCTGAAAAGCCAGGCCACCCCTGGCTAACATACCAACCAGCTCCTTCCCTGAAAGTACCACCATCTAGGAAGTGCGTGCACTTCGTGCCTCACGACAGAAGCACTAACAAAGCCACGTGGGGTACATTTCCCCACCAGTACAGCATCAAGCCTGCCCTGCCATCCTGAAACTTGAGATCTCGCAATTCCCAGCCTTGCAAACGCTCCTCCAACCTACTTGAGAGCACCTCAAGCACTGCCTCTGCAGGACTGAACTACAGGTGCCATTGCGTTTCTTCCACGTGAGACCTGATGTGGCCAAAAGCACCAAACCACCCTCCCCCAAGTACTACTCTGCAATTTCATAGCTTGAGCATCTCTGTAACATCCCATCTTGTCCCCCCCTCAATCTGGTCATCCACAGACTCAGTTCAGCCTTGGTGCTTTAACACACAGGCTTAATGTTCCTGCGAGTTGGTAAACACCTTGTCAGGTCAGTACCTCAGAGGAGAGGCAGCCAGTGCTACAGGGTGGCTGCTGAAAAGACGAAATAATCCATTCCCCTATGCCCACCTCTGCTGCTAAAACACGTTTTGGCTCATTGAGGATCTTGAAGGAAAAAGATGAAGGTGCAGCACGTGAGCCTACTGTAGTGCATAGCTCATTCAGACAGACATCCCATGGTTCCTACTTTCTCTCTTGGAGAAGTAAGTGAGACAGTTTCTTTTACTAAGAGATCAGTAACTTCCACTTAGGGCATCAGGTGGGGAAAGGAGAGGCAGGGATTGAATTACTGCTCACATCCATCAGCATCTCAAGCATCAAAACGGCAGCTTTCAGCTCCCCACCCTCTGAACGCAGACGGCATCACGAGCCACTGCAGTGTCACTCCCCATCTTCTCATGTTCTGCTGCCTTCAACATATGCAACTGGGTGTTTCAGCCCTGTGGCCAGTCACCCACCCAGCTCACCAGCTCTCCCAGAATGTTACAACTCTAGTAATCAGACTTATTTCACCTTACCAACACCACACCTACCTCTTCAATGAAGACCCGCTACTTTAAGGGAAGCACGGACAAAGGAAAGGCTTTAACACGATCTGGAAGTTTTTGATGCAAACTCACCCTAAAGGGTAAGTCACTTTTATTTTTATATATATATGTATGTATGTATGTGTGCACACACTTACACACTCAAGATATTACCTGTATCTCAAGTATCCAGGTGCTTTGAGACAGAACAGTGTCACACACCTCTCCAGTGGCAACATACCAGAAATACAAGTATGATGAAAGCTGCCAAAATCCCAGCCCTGAACCAGCCAACAGTCGAGCGAGACAGCCGGGGTGTGAGTGCTTTGAGACACTGTGGCAGGACACCATTTGTGTGCTAGTGACAGTGCCCGGGACTCTGCACTGCTAAAAATACGTCAGTGGAGCCCTCCATCACCTTCGTCAGGCTTCGGTTACATCCCAACTAGATTCTTTTAATTGTGAAAAATTCCAACAGGCACTTGACGACATTAAATCACTGTAATTAGTAGCAACTACTAAAGCACCTTTCAAAACTTTTACTAAAATTTCAGGAGCTATCTGATTTTGTAATACAGTTTCCAAGGATAAGTCAATGTTTGTGCTTTTAAAAAAATTTTAAAAAAGCAAGACCATTGTTCAAACTAACTCCTACTGGCCTAGGTAGCATTAGAGAGCAGCCAAATACATTGCTGCGACTGGTCAAAAGCCATACTTGGCATCACGTGTAGGTTTGTAACACACAAGCGTGGAAGTCGCAGAGACTTGTTCTGCAACTTCATGCTCACCTCTACAAAGAGCACAATAAAGAGCTTTGTTTTTCTGTTGACATTAATTGTTTTCATATCAAAACAAACAGCTTTAAGCAGTACATATAAAGCTTGGAGAGCTTCTACATTAGAATGTAGCCAACTGGTTTGGCTTTTTCGATTTTGAGCAAGAACTTTCAGCAGGCACCACAGATACTTTATCCGGGACACATCCATATGAGCGTACTGTAGCTCAGCAGCACTTTTCATTAATACAAGCAGTTGTCCAGTAAACAGTTAAAAGTTTAGGCTCTTCCCCATTTTGAGTTCCCAGTTCTTGCTGTATTTTAACATGATCTCTGCTACAAATCCCTCCCACACAGGAGTAGAAACACACCAGGGACAGTGTGTGTTTCCAGGCTGTGGGAAAGAAGAGGCTGCAGGTTTTGGCTACACTATTTGGTTGAAAAAAAAGAAAAGGGAAAAAACCCTCAAACAACACTAAACGAAAAAACTCACCACCAAACCCACAAAACTCAACAAAAAAAACATAGCCCAAAAAACCACATCACCAAACCACCACAGTGCCTCACCTAGTAATTAGCGACGATACCACCAGCAGCACCCTCCCTTCAGGCCAAGAGATGAACATTTAGACCTGGAGCCTGAAACTGCAGCCTGTTTTCATACCACTGGGCTTGAAAGGCATCGCACCGCTGCGGTTAACTCAGAGTTTGAGAAATGTGGCATTAAGGGGTTTTCCGGGCAGAGAAACAGAAGAGAAGGATTAGGGACTGCTCTGTGAGCTACAAATGGAATGGTCAAATTTGTAATGTTCCATATTACTTCAGCTTCAGTAAGAAGCTGATTCATAATATTAGAAACCGTACATTCTGTTTTACAAGACTGCTACTGAGTAGATCCTAGTGGGTTATTTAAGCCACTAGCTCAGAATCCAAATTATCACTGAAGAGCAAAGCATGTACTTCTGCAACCCATGTACCTTCAGTGGTCAACGTTTTCAAAGTCTTTTTAACACTGGCATTTATCAGGATCCAAAACAAATTTAGTAAAAGCTTTCCTCACCTTAAGTACATAATCACTAGGTAAGCCTTTGCGGCAGGAATTATGGGAACCATCAAAAACAATACTGAAAATAACCCAAACGGAGACACTATGTTTATTAATACTCTTCCAGATTACATTTCTATTCCTAAAAAGAAAAGCAGGAGCACACCTAAGTCTAAGAATTCCATTACTGTTCAATCTTGGGAATGGAACATCGTAAAGTTGGACCATTTTATTACTTTCAGTATACTTTAATATTTCAAAATAAAAAAAAAGTCAAATAATACTAGCTCCAGACAGATTGCATATTGAACATGGTAGGTTTTTAAGTCATCACACATCAATTTTCTGATAAAAATCCCTGATTAAGAAGTTTTCCCTCTAAATTAAGTTTATAAAATTCTCTGTTGGTGGCTCAGCCACTCAATGGTATAGGAACTGCTCCCAGGTTTCTTGTTGCTTAGATTATCCAGCCTCGGGTGCACCCTGGAACCAAAGTCTTTGGAGGTGGAGCCAGCAGTTTTCTCCTTAACGCCTTCTGTTGAGCAACATGGAACATGACACAGTCTGCTTCAAGAAGCCTTAAGAATCGGCTCTTGAAGAAACAGGAAAGGTGGCCATGTGTAACGGAGGAAGAAAAGAGGAAGCCTCAATACTTATGAGGGTAGATTCCCAGAACTCAGCCGAGCCAGGTCCAGCAAGCAAGAAAACCACACAAATCCCACCAAGGGAGCGGGCACCATGGAGTAAACAAACCAGACAACAAGCAGATGTCCACTGCAGAAGCTGGCCATAAATGCGTCAGTCCTATGAATCATTTGCTATAAAAAGTTCAGTGTCTCATCTTCAGTGCTTCTTTAGCTATAATTCTGTACATTATATACAAAAATGCACAAGGACAGCTGCTTGATGCTTCCAATCCTTGTTCTTTTGCAGTGATGAAAAATTTTAAAAACCAGAGTCTGGACTTATAAATAGTGCAGAAAACGCAAACGCTAAGAAGACAATGCCTCCTATGATTGTCACTGGAAAGAAAAAAACAAACCAAAGAGAAGTTAGGTACTGAAAGTTAAATATATTCTGTGACACATTACAGAGTTGTTCTGCTGTTTTTTTTGTTTGTTGTTTTTTTTTAAAAAAAACACAAAACGTTCCAATTCCCAAATAATCTTACTTTAAAATTTATGCTGCAAACAGTGGATATTGTTTCCAGCTCAGTGTCAGGATGCCCACATGCCATCCCTTTGTCTAACTGCATCTATAAGAATATATTCTGGTCCTTAGAAGGAAGCTTTGGTTCACCCTTATTACTCTGGCTAGTGTAAAACCAAGGCCAACTCCTGCTGTTGAATATTTGGCTGTATGGGGGAAAATAAAGTACAATATTCTCTTGCTGGAGCGAGCCATCAGTTAAGAGTAACAAACTAACTAGCATTTTTTGCACAGTTGAGGTAACTATACTGAAAGAGACAATAACAAAAACATTAACTGCTCGCAATGGCCACAATCTGCTAGAGGCTGGGACAGTATTCCAGGAAAGCATCACTGTATTTGGAACATTATCCTACCTTTCTCTAACAAGCTAACTGGCTAGGTGGACCTTTGGTCTAACCTAATAGGCTATTCCTGTGACCAAAGATGCATGTTGAGCTTATTAGGAGAACATTAAATCATTGTTAGATTAGCACCTCATCACCAACTTCCTTGGCAAAGGACAGAACACACATTTCACTGTTTGCAGTGAAGTTGGTTTTTTTACAGCCTCTGCAACTACCGAACAAATATTCTGAATGAACATTTATAGGAAGCAGCTTCACAGAATCCTTCCTGGGAGCAAGAAATCTCACTGCATCACAGGACTGACAGTTGAAACAAGCTGCAACCTAATCTACACAGAAAAAAAAAACAACCCCATGTAACCTTACTGGTACTTCCTGTTACAGATAGCAGGTATGAAAAACATTTATGCCACACACACAGTAGCTTTCAAAGCTTTTGTATGGCTGGCATAACTTGTAAGTATGCAGTTCTCTTGCTCACCTGAATGTCTGCACTCAGTATTATGAGAGAATTTCCATTATCCGCTGCTGAACAATACATACAGACTAGTCAAAATACTGTATTTCTTACCTCTGGTTTCCTACAAGCTAGCTAATAGCGAAGCATGTTTTGCTTCACTTGTGCTCATCTTTAAACCTGGAGCTACAACACCCATTTTGATTCCTTAAATTAGAGTTGTCTACTACCGGTAAAGTTCAATTACAGCGGGACCCTTTAGAAGCACCCTGCACAGGATGGTGGCACATGCTCAGACTCTGCCTGGCAGGAAGGACATGTAGCCCAGGGAACAGCACAGGGTCACCTCCTGCAAGGGGAGCTGACTAAAGGATGAGGAAGACACAGACTTAAAAAAACAAAAGTTTTTGGGTTTTCCTAAACTTTTGAGAAACACCGTTCCCAAGTATATAGTCATTTACACCACAGACAATACCAACATTAGCGCATTTTGTTTGGCCAGAGTGAGTTTTCACTTACCAGTTCTAACAGAAATTTTTTGTGCTATCATTCTCCCTCCAATAACTGCTAAACCAGTGCACAGGCAATGTCCCACTGTTCCTCCTACCGCCACACCATAGGGGTCCTGAGGAAAAAAAACACAGAGGGAAACATCAGCACAGTTGAAAACTCACTAGTCCTACAACCACCTCCTGCCGTGAAGGAGCAACGCCTCGATTCCCTGGTTGCACACTGTCAAGCAGAGAGTTTGCTCTGCTCTGCTGTCTGTCACTGCCTTAAGGACCAGTAAGAGCGCAGGTCAGCTAGCAAGATGGGCTTAAATCTAAATCTGACTAATACAGGAGCATATGGCATGTTTCAACCAAGAATCGTCTTCAAGTTCTTAAATACAGATCCAGAAATTGCTCTGCTGTACTTTATAAAAAAAAGCAACCTCTAGAGGGAAGGTGGCAGCTGTTGAGAAACACAATATGAATCAGCTGGAAGAACAGCAATCTAACTATAGAGAAAAATAAATCCATGAATTGCAGATGAAAATTTTCAGCAGCTAAAAAAATTTCAACTCCTTTGTCCAGCTTCACAAGCTTGTGCTCTACACTCTCCTCCCACCCCAAATCATCCCAAGAGGGAAGTATGAAAGAATTTAAGTCCAAAGGATAATAAACTATTTTCAAAGTTCAGTGCCAATGACAGCTTTCACAACACCATGTAACAAGAAGCTACTTCAATACATGAACAAATCTACTATGTAAGGAGGTTTCTCAGATCTACCTACAAATTACACACTTAAGCGCAGCATATGTATTGAACACCTCATAAAATAGGAGAGTTCAGCACCAGAAACAGAAAACTGTCTTTTAATGATGGATAAAGAAGGCAAGGTAGGAGCATGACTTTCTGCTGTACACAGATGAATGAGGGAAAGTGGAGTTGAGTTACCTGCACATCTCTAAGTGAGACATTAGCTCCAAGAAGAAACAAAAAAGCTGCTGCCTTCACATGAGGAAAGCATGAAATCTTTAACAGGCAAACAGCAAAACAGTCTAGGAAATTACATGGTATGAAGAAAAGACATAGTTTAACGTAGTTTCCCTCCAGCATTTCCGAGTTACACAGTAACACAACTCCTTTGCATGTCTCTCTGGAAACTTTTTTTTTTAGTGGTTTCTGCAACAGTGAAAGAGGGAAGCAGAGTCTGAAGATGTCACGGTCAGCCTGCCTGGCTCAATGCCACCAGATCCAACCACTGTGTACTGCATATCCTGCCCACTCCTCATAGACGACACTGACTAGCCAAGAGAACCAAAACCACACGCCAGTGAGAAAAGGTGGCGAGCACCAAGCAGAGGACACGTAGGAAACCACCAAAACGCACAGGTAGAAAGCAGAGCTGTGCCAGCAGAATACACTTGCCTCCAGGATCAGGAAATCCCTGTTTCCCTGCGGTCAGCAGTTACCTGTACAACCCCCACTGGCAGAGGGTCGATCTCACCCCCCTAACTCCATTGCCTCGGGCTGTCCCTGGAAGGTAATAAGTTTTGACAGCTTCCCTCAGCCTTGTGTCTTCCTAGAAGCAGAAGTGCTCAGATGCAGCAGCTGAGGCAAAGCCAGTCTAGTAGGCCACTATGGAGCTTCCTTTTCCATTTCCTTAAGCAGATGAACAATTCTTACACAGAGTAAACTACTAAGGTGTAAAATCAAGTTCTTAAGAACTGTTGTCAGGACTAGGTTCATTAAAACAGGTTTAACTCATGCCCCTCGTGTATGCACTGAGACAGCCTAATCATCACCCTTTTTTTTTTCCTCCAAAGGAGTCCTGTTTGTTTGTTGTGACAGGATGGACACGACTTGCATAATGAACAGTCATTTCAGTATTTTGTTTTCTTTTCACTGAAGAATGTACGGTCACAGTTGACTTACCACACTGCTCAAATCTCCATATAAAGATAATTTATTTCCTCATAAGCATTTCTGCAATGATCCTGCTATATATCTTAGTACTTCACAAATAAGGATTCATCTGAATATATTATAAAACAAAGGGGTATAAAACATTCCCACAGATAAAATGAAAAAAGATCCAGATCACACTCATTCACTGATTTTAAAAGTCAAGATGAAGATATCTTCAATTTATTTTTTGTAGTATTTGTTTTTGTAGCACTTACACAAACACTTATTATGCTAAAGGCACAACATCCCACAGTCTTTAGTCGCAATGCTCAGCACTTCACAGACCAGAATGCAGAGTCTGATGCACACTTCCTAACAGGACACTCAGAAAATGTAAACCAGAAGCCAACAACCACCTGTGCAAAGATGGGCTTAAGCAATTTGCCTAGCACTTGAGCAGAGGCAGCAATGATTCCTTGTTTTCCAAGATGGCACGTAACTGCCTGAACAATCAGATCCTTCTCTCATCCTGCCATTCCCTGCCTGTCACTTCTAAGCACCTTCCCTGCACCGTAATAAAGACGAGAGGCTCCTACAGACTATAGCCTCCTTCATTACGCAGCCCTGATTTATCCCTAGGGAAGGTCTGAAAGTGCACTGAAAGAAGCGTTAAGTCCTAGTGAAAAAAATTAAATTATCTCAATGCATAAAAGAGCACAGGTAAGCTACTTACATTTATTAAAAGGTTGACTATAAGCCTTAATTTTCCTTTAAATATAATAGTTATATACATTCCAATCATGATGCTGAGTATCTTTTCATTTACAGTATTACTTACTGCATTGCAGTTTAAAGTTTATTTTAGCTCTATACATTGTACTATATTCACTTAGATTTTTAAAAAGAGGTTATCTTCTTAACAGCTTTAAGTTTGCTGGCATGAAGGTCTCTTTTTAAAGCTACTGTGTTAAAACTGTAGGACCACACAGATCAAAGAAAAGAGGTTCTGTAACATCTCCCTACTCTGTAACAAAAACCAATTGTATTCAGATGCATAATATAAACTATTTCCAGAAATGCCTGTGCAGTCCCAATCATGTAACAACAGTTGTAATACTACACAGAGCTTCAGTGCATTTATTTTCAGGTCTCGGCACAGCTGTAACACTAACTGAGGCACAGCAAGGCAGCGGGTGTGAACCTGATACCTCCTGCAAGTGTATTTTGTCTCTCCCACTTCTCTGCAGGCAACCCAAAGAGGTCAGAAGAGCAGCGGGCACTCTGCAGCACTCACCTCTCTGGCAGCCAAGACGATGGTTGTTAATTGGGAACGATCACCCCATTCTGCTAAAAACGTTAAAGTAAAAGCCTGAACAAAGATTGGAGAAATAAAATGTAGCCACTTCTTCTGAGGTATAGTGGTGCCTGGCCCGGATTCCACATCTCCTGGCCCATTTAACAGTTTAGTTCTCTGAAGCTGTGGAGGACAAGGAAAAAAACAAAACAAAACACAACACAACCATAAGATTAGAAATGTCACCTAAACAACCCAAACAGAATACTTAAACTGCAAAGCTAGCCATTTAGTATCTGGAATGTTATTAGCCACTGACTGCTGCATTATCAATGTATTATTTATATTGGACACCATTTAAAGAAACTAGCTACATATATGCACACACGTATACACTTGTAATCAATCACCTGTAACCTCCAGTTATTATCCATCTTGTACTGCTTGCACTTACACAGCAGTTTCAGTAGCAACAACACCAGGCAGGTTTCTAACCACAGACTTTCTTCTATTTTTAAAGCAAGAATCCTCCTCTTCCCAAGTAGTGGCTCTCAAATTAGGATTTGATAAAAAAAAATTAAAAAATATATCTTAAAAGAAATAAGATTAATACTCCACACTAATCCTTAGAAGTGGACTATTATATTTAGAAAGTTATTATAACAGGGACTTTTGCTGCAACACTACAAGGCTCAGCATTATTCTGCCTGACCATAAAAAGAAATAAAAGTAGAGGCAACAGCAAACTGTTGATGTCCTCTCTGCTAGCAATGCACTGAAAAAAAAAGCAAAACCAACCAACCAAATCCACTATGGAGAAAGTAGTTTTTCTCCTGAGAAGCCAGGCTTGTCACAGAACTGGAATCACCTGTTGGAACAGCCTCTAGGGGCCACTTCCATCCCATTTACCACACGTTTTCTGTGTTGGATTATCAATCACAGACACAGCTGAACACCCCAAACAGGACAGTGCCGTTCTGCAGCTTCATGGCTGGCTGCTATTTCATCAGCACTATTCACAGAAAGTTTTACTTACTTCCTCGTCTTTTTTTTTAATTTCTGCTTGAACTTCCTCCAGCTCTTCCTGACCCTCATCTGGACTCATTTTCAAGCCTTCCCGAAGCATTCGGATGCCAAAAATTGCAAACAGTGCCGTTGACACATAATATGTGTACACCCGAGGAATAACTGTGGTGGCATAGCCAAACAAAACTGAAAAGAAAACAAATGCATCATTTAAAAAAAATAAGCATGAGGATAATTGTTTTTCCCACATCTAAGAAATGCTTGCTAGCAAAGTCTGTGAGTCAAATATCCACTGATAAGTAAATATTACATCTTTTGTTAGCTTTATATGTATTTTTCTTTCAAGACAGCAACACTCTAGAAACGCCAACCATTATTGGTCATACCAGAGACCGAAGTCTATTTGCAGACAAGGTACACCAGGCAAAGCTGATGTGCTGCTATTCCCAAGAGCCAGTGCAAGCAACATTATCTTTCGCATCAAGAACTATGCAAATCCTGGCTTTCTCCAAGCATGCCATGAAACCATAACCTGTAATCATGTTAGATTAGTCACAGTGTATACCAGTTAATTCCATTGTTATTTATGACTGCATGTTGGACAGTATCCCTTTCCAATAATTTCCTTTATCTGATTAAGTCAGAATTCAATTTTCTACAAGTTAAATCTACTAGACTTAGCCATAAGTTATCCAGCTGCGTAAATCCATGTCTGTCTTCTTTTGCCAAGTGCAAATACCTGCACATTACTATTCCCTTCCCTCCCACACTCCCTACAAACACACAACGTGACCAACATTGATAGTCCCTTAATTTTAAAGCACTGATCACACTCAGAGACCAAAAAGCTACCTCCACAGTGCATCTACTTTTATGGGTATCAAAGGCAATCAAACTAAGCCAAAACTAGTTCTCAAACAATAAGAAATACATATCCAGGACGAAGTACTTACTTCTTCACAAAGTAACACTGGTTAGCACTTTTGGAAAAAAAAAAAAACTGCGTAGATGAGAGGAAATTAAAACTCCACACCTAACATTCAAGGCTGCTTGGACCATGCACTCACAACTGTCTCTGTTGTTTTACTTCACATGCAACTAGTTAAAGGAAGCACATTGCCATGTGTGTTTTCTTGCACACACTTTCTTAGCTGAAAAATGCACTTATAATCTGGAAGTTAATTCACACTGCCATTACCAAAAGTAAGACTGTGACCAAAATTAATCAGGCTGTACTATTAGTAAACACTGCACACACATACATGAACAACAGTATTAGTTGCATAGCTAAATAAAACAGAAGGAGTTAAACTAAATTTTTTAATACTGAAAATACTAAAGTAAAGCAATACAAGAAACTTTACAAAAAGATATTTTTTTCTAGCATTACTTGCATATACAAGCATAGAAACAATGAAATAATCAGGATGGTAAGGCACTTATTTTGTCAAGCACAGCTTGAAAAAACACCCCATGTAGTGATTACTTGGAGCTAGCGAGTTTAAGTGAGCAGGTTTTCATGAAATCAAGGTGGACAACCCCCCCAGGAATTTCCGGACACAGCTTGTATAAAGCAAGGGCTGGAGAAGGGGGGGGGGCAGTATGGAGAAGGGACGGGGAAAAAAAAAGGCTCCTTTCAGAAAAGGAAGAAATAGTTGGGAATCTCTAAACTGGGGGATAAAGCAGAAAAGAAAGCTTTTACGAAAAAGCATCCAGACAAATCTGAAGAATGACTTAGTATAGGAAAAGGGAGAGCCATAACTGGCAGAAGAAAAGAGATCGCAAGACTTACAGAATAGCGCATCACCTGTGGTACTAAGTAACATTAAATGAAGCAAGCAGTACCGAAGTGGAAGAAGAGCCAAAAACTATTACATTACTGCAATAATAATCACAGTAACCTATATAGCAATCGCTACACAGCCAAAAACCATTCACAGAAACACCCGCCGAGAAGCCTGAAGCCAGTTCATCAGCTGTCTCCAGCATATATACACCAACGAACCCGATTTCAATTATTTCTGAAACGGGTATGGTCAGAAGCGAGTACACATACAACAAAATCTATGCTGCACCTGCTATACCGGAAGGCTGCTCCATTTTACGGTCGCAGCTATGTAAGCACCCACAGCTACAGGTTCCTCAAGTGCAACCTGACACCTCACTCCCCCCCCTCCCCCCAGCACTCGGCTCTGTCAGTACCACCCATCCCAAAGGATCACAACAGAACAACCATTTACACATCTCCCAGCACAAATCCAAACAGCTACACATACAAGGACGCAGGTCAGACGAGGGAAATTCGTCATCATAGTAAGAATCTTTCGCCTTAGGAGGAAAACCAGAAGTCACTCCCACATTCCCTTTAGGCAAGCTAATTTAACAGGAGCTAAAAATAAAAAGGAAACTAGTGGCTCAAAACCCAAAGTGCTTAGCCTTCCAATTCCATTCCTCTTCTTTAAACTCATATTGAGCTCTAGAGCTCCCTAGGGAGTGCAAATACCTCATTAGAGGTAAGAGCCTGAAAATTCAATCTGAGCCATGGTCCCCAGGAAAACCTGCACTCTCTCCTCAAAACAGAAAACCGCATATACCTGCTACCTTCATTATAATTTCACTTAAGATTAATTGATAAATATGTACCCAGCACATTTTAAGAGACCAAACAAAAAGAAAAGAGCGCTAACCTGATAAACATGTCATCAGTCCCAAGGCAAGCATAGCACCAGCCAGTACAGTCAAACGGTTGTACCGCATCGCCATGATGGCTGCGATGAAGAAGGTCTTATCCCCCAGTTCTGATACAATGATGACCGATATAGCAGCCACAAACGCGTGAATGAAGCCCAAATTAGTCTTGTCAGCTGATTCTTCATTGACAACATGAACTGGAGCAACTGGCGAGGACCCCTTCTGTAAAAGGGGGGGGGGAACGGGGGGACAACAACAACAACAAAAAACCCACTAGTTAATTAGGCTTGAATAGTTGGGTCACAGAAGTGCTGAGCCTTGTGTTTCTCCTGTCATATCATACTGCATAGCATGACATTTTAAGTATACACCTCTCAGGCAGCATTAATGATCATTAACCAGTTACTGGCTGCCACCAACATGGAATTGCTACTTAGGCAGTTGGCAAAAAGATCAGATCATGCACTGATTATTAAGGCAGTACTTCACCATGCACATTATTACCAGAACACGAGAACCCCTATAACAACAAAACACAGTGAAAGCTGCTTTAGTTCAGCTCTAATATTGCTTTCTATACAATCCCTGGCTATTTACTTTATGACCTTGACCAAATATGTAAGTTCCTGATACAAAGAATTAAACTCTTCAAACTAAAACTGAGCTACTAAGATAGTTTAGGAGAAATACACAGTCATTTCAAAAATTGTCAGAATCAGAATCGCATTCCCTTGCAGAATCTTTGCATCTCAGCTGAATTAATTTTTCATACAAGTTTTCATCAGCTTTTTCTGTACATGCTCTATGTCTGTTGAAAACTAGTTTTAAGACTTTCCAGCAGTCAAACCAGACGACCACATTCCAGATCTCACTGAAGTGTTTACTTTTACACAAACTTAGATAAGTACAGTCAAAATCAAGGCCCAAAACAAGGAAGTCAACGTTCACATGCTTGAGCAGAGATGGCTAGGAAAGCTTGTTTCAGCACATCTACCAGCAGAGACAGAGCACAACATGTTTTAACACAGTGGCTTCCCAGCATTCCACTGAAATTTTTTGGGTTTGATATTTAAAAGTTTCCATGCTCTATATGGTACACAGCGACTTCCCAGAGAGTTCCTTCACCTTCAGCAGTGCTGTAAATTTTTGGTTTTGATAGTTAAAACTTGGCATGCTCTGCATGCTACTCCAAGCCATATGTTAGCAATTTTTTCATCCCGCTGCGTGATCATCCGGCACCAGAACACCCTAACCAAGAACACCATCTAAAAAGTTTTAATGCAAAGAAATTAATCTTAAATACTGAGGAAAAAAACGGCAAGTTTCGAGTCGCAACGAAGCCCGCTTCCATCTGCTTCTGTGAGGAAGACCTGGAGAGGTCAATTCCTCCCCTCTGCACGTAAAAAGCGGGGCACAAGAATATTTATCTGGTGAAATAAAGTATTAGTTCATTTCTCACAATGGACCTGAATTCGCCACTGGCCCTGCAGCTTTCCCCTTTTTCTGCTCAAAGAGGAGAATTCAGGAGCCCAATGGCCTCCGAAAGGCGAGGCGTCCTGCAGGCCAGGCCCGCCCCGCC